TCATCTTAAATACCAGCAAGACTAAAGAGATGATTGTTGACTTCAGGAGGAGCAAGAATAAGCAGCATAGTCCTGTCTACATCCTGGGAGAGGAGGTGGAGGTGGTGGAAAATTACAAATATCTTGGAGTTCAGCTGGACAGCAGACTAGACTGGAAAAATAGAAGAGAGAGACAGATGGATTTGAGGACACAGCACACCTAGGTGCTTGAACCTGCCTGCTGACTTGTCTGCATAGTACCAGACCCAACCCAGCCCTGCAGGTGGAGGGCCCACTGTGCTGTGCCCCACGGACCAAGGCTTAGCCACTAGACGCTCTCTGGCAAGCTCCCCTCACGGGCCTGGCTCCACCAAGGGGCCCCGGTCTCTCTATTCTGAGTGAAATGGTATACCATTCCATTGAGGTTTTGTGAACTTCCTTTAGACTTTCTTTGGATGTTTTCCAGACAAATCCAGGAGGAAACTCCAAGACAGACCCAGAACTCAGAGATTACTTATCTCATTTGGCCTGGGCACTCCTTAGGCTCCACTTGGAGAAACTGGAAAGTGTTGCTGTGGAGAGGGACATCTGGAATCACCTGCTTCACCTGCTGCCTCTGTCACAGGGCTCAGAATAAGCAAAAGAAAATGGATGGAGTAAATTGGGTTCATTTAGACTGAGACTAAATGTATGTAGCATAAGCCTAAATGTTTAATATCACATACCATATGATTAGGAATTTATGCAAGGTAATTTTCTGTAAACTGCAGTTTCTGGACTGATACTGATTAATGAAGTTACTCAGTGGTAATCTCTTGGTCAGGTCAGTGTTACAGGAACTCTGGTTAAGCCGCAATTCAGGCTTGGACTATGTTAAATCTGCTTTCAGAACCAAAGTAACCTGAAAGTAAATCAAACTATCTGAAACAATCCCACCTTACTTAGGAAGCTTGCTTTATGGAACAGACCCACTAGTTTTGCATGGGATAAAAATCTTAGCATACATTTTTAACCTGAAAATGGTATTTAAGATGGAATTAAGAAGGAGTTACAATGAGCTGTAGTTTTTACATGGTGCTGTTTATTTTAAATAATTAAGTCATTTTGAGCCGTTTAGTTCGCAACTATAGCCTGGTTTTAGCCTTTAAATATGATGGATGTCATTGGTGGTATATCTGTTGATCTTGTTTGATTTTAAAGTGTTGCATAATATGTATATGTATAATATAATAATACCCGTGGCAGTCCAGCAGACTGCTGTTATTTTGAAAACGCCACAGGAATTGTTGAACTGCAATCCTGCGTCCAGTTTGACACTGTGTCCTCCATCCTCCCCTCCGTCACCCCCCCTCCCTCCAGACTCTTCCCCTCGCTCACACCGGTAGTTGTCATGGCGATGGAGTCAGCCTCGGCGTCGGCTCCGGGTCTTGTTGCCATGGAGATCCCGGTGCGAGGTGCGCTCCCGGTGGTGGAGGAAGACGAGGGCTTCAGCGCGCTGCCGCCGGGGTCCGAGGAGCGACTACGGTACCGGCGAGGAGGTGGGAGACGGCGGCGCGGGGTGCCGTTCAACCGGGGCGGCTACTACATGCTGATAGTGATCGGAGAGATCGGCACGGAGCACCAGCTGGACGCCGCCAGAGTACAGATAGAACGGGGTGAGTGATGGACGCAAAACCGCCACCGATCTGCGATTAGTATCTGCTGGCAGCTGCGATTCAGTAGGCAGCGGTGGGATGGAAAGTCGTGGAGAGAGCGTTAGACGTAGAAACAGGAACAGGAGAGAAATGTTTTGACGCAATGAACAGGATAGTATCCATAGGTAGAGGCAGTTGCTGCAGCATTGCACCATGGGACACAGCGCATTCCTGTACCTCTAGTGTAGCTGTAGAATTGCACACTCGAGTTGTGGATCCTGCATAAGTTTTTTGATAGGGCTGTAGGCTATTTTGGCAAAAAAAACAAAAAACAAAAAACAAAAAACCTCCCTCTGAGGCTCGACCAAAATACTAGGCTGTAGTAAAAGCATCAAGTCAGTATATGAATCTTTAATTACAAATTAAAGACACATTTACATTGACATGTCAGGATAGCTATATGAATACGTTTGATCATTTATTTACAACCTGCAGAACATTTTTAAGTCTGTGTTTTCTTAGCCATTAGAAATCAGGTTGTGATTTCAAGCATCCGTTTGTGTGTGTGTTTCTGCTTGTTTGTGTGTCACTACATGGGTGTTTTCCTGCTTGGAGCGCCCTCAAATCAGCAAACACACAAAGTCTGCAGGCTGTGCTCAGCAGTGAAAATACAACTATTTGACAGATATTGTAAAGCAAGTGTGTTCCGCTTGCTGCTGGACACACTCGTGCATCATTACTCAGCTGAATATCTCTGCGCTGGGTGAGTTAAAACCCTGCTTCTCCTCTTGAGGAGCTGCAGCAGGCTGCAGTCATTCCTGTCACTGAGAGCTGTCCTAAGTCTAGGGGTGTAAACAGATAGTAGAAAGATGTTGCTGTGTGCGAATTCAGGAGTATGCAGGTCAGCAATTATCTGCTGTCCCATTGCAACTTCAAGCTGTTCTCAGTCCAGATCGCTTTTTCCAGCACCATAGCAACAACCATCCGTCCCCTCTGACCTCCTCTTACCACCGATTGGGAGTTGACAGCTCTGCTGCTCTGTGGCAAGCTTGGTATCACACCCACTCAGCTCATTACAGCTTCGATTCTTTCGGCCTGGTCGGTGCTTTAAGTATGACTCAGTGTGAATGACCTGCCATCGACTCTCGTTACACGTTAGCTGCAGGCTCCTTGTGTTAGCCTGCAACAAGTCACTCTCACTGCAGTGGGGCCAAAACACAACAAACCCAAAGATCTTTTTATTTGTACACCTGATTGGATTTCGTTAAAATCTCACTTTTGCTTCAATTTAGTTATCACTTGCATTATTGAATATTAAGATAATTTTTATTTAAGTATTTAGTCTCATAAAATAAAAAGAAGTCACGTTGCCACAGTCTTAGTCGGTCTGCCTATTAGTCTTTAGAAAATCTGAAAATACATTTTCTGATTTTGATCATAAAATGTCAGAAAATAGTGAAAATGTCAAACTCAGAGATATTTCTGTGTCCTGTGTTTTTTCAGCACAATGAACACAATAGTCTGACACAGAGGTTCCCCTCTTTATGCCAAATAGCCCTCTCTCCCTCTTTCATCACTGTTCCATAAGAATGACATGAGAAATGAGCTTCTTTATCCAGTCAGTTTACAGTAGCAAGGCACCAGCTAACATTTCAGTGAGCATGTTTTACTAATTAGGCAGATCATAAAATTAAAACACCTATGAAACCTGCAGTATTAACTTGATTTAGCACATGTTTAAAAGAAATTATTATGAAGCGACAGAAAATGCAGCGTCTGGTCCAACTGAATTCATGAAATGCAGCAATTCTCATATTTCTGAAGCTAGAACAAGACTTTTTTTAAAAATTGCTGCAGTTCTTGTAATTCTGATTATTTGTAACAGTAAATCCTCACATTTAAGAAGCTGTATCCTGTAAAATTGGACAAAGCAACATGTGATAGAATCTGTTTTTATGCTTTTCTGTGCGCTCATGTACAGTCTGGAAAATCAGGAGACACAGAAGATGGTAACGCTGCCATGACAAGGACCTAAAAGATACCACAAGAGTCAGGACTTAAGTCTAAAACATTGTGATGCCAAAATATGAAAAAAAACTTTCAGTTGAATGTGAGAGGATATGAGACCGTGGCCTTGCATACTTTATAAGCTTTGAGTTAACCAAAGCTGTAGGTAACAAGAAAGTCCTGGGCTTTCCCTTGGAGGTGCTGGGAAAGACTTTTGGTTTGGCAAATCTAAAATCTGGCAGCAGCCAAAGAGAAAATCAGTGTTCCTGTGCATCTGACACTGAGCTTAGCATGCTTCCCCTCTCACCTTGCACAGCATGAAGACCCCAAATTCATGTTTTCAATTATATTAACTTTTAAAAACTGTTGTATTATGTTATTACTCTATACAACCTACCTGTAGACATTTTGCAGCATTACTCAGTCATAATCCTTTGGCTGCATCTCAAAGTGAGAAATGATGATATATTTTATACACAGTACAGTAAATGACTCCTTCAGTAACCAATGAGGCACTAAGTGATAACATTTTGTATTAATACCATTCTTAGCACTTCATAACCCTCCCTCCTGTCTTTGGAGCACCAGCTGGTTGCCCCTGCAAACATTGTAGGGTCACAAGTTAAGATGGAGATTTAATGCTTTGTCTGTAGTGTTTTCACATTGTAGGTTTTAACCTAAAAGAAGTCTTCAAGGATGAAGATCAAACTGTAAGTTTGGCAAATGCACTTCTGACTAACTTCCACACAGCTGGAGGACACAGCTGCTTCCTTCAGCTTTTCAATGGCAACTGTCTCTCACATGTGAATAAGAAGGTCCCAAGCAGGTCATTCAAAGTGTAGGCATGCTGATGTGCAAGTCTGGATGGCTGATTATGAAGCGATAGTGACAAGTAGAAGCAAAAAGACACTTTCAATAATGCGATTTAATTGAGTCTCACCAGGTTTTATAGGAGAGTGAGCTTAACTGACTTATTTTACCTGATAAAGGGACACAGTTATTTTCATTTCAGATTAATCTGTGACATTATTATGTAATTGTCAGATATCTAAATAATTTATTTAAATACAGAAAATAATGCCCTGTGATCAATCTCTAAACCCAAAATGCTTGTTTTGTGTGAACACCACCAACCTGTAACGTATAGAAATTGCAATATGTGAAGCAACAAATTCTTCTACTTGAGTAGCTAAAATCAGTGCATGTTCAGCCTCCTTGCATGAAAAATGGCCATATCACCATATCATGGTCATATCACCCTCAAAATTAACCCCCCTATGTAATACTGTGCAGATCCCCTTCATGCTGCCAAAACAGCTCAAATGCATCGAGGCCTGGACTCCACAAGATCTCAAAGGTGTCCTGTGGTATCAGGCACCAAGCAGATCCTTTTACCCTCTGAACCCCAAACAGTTTCTGGGTGTTTTTTTTTTTTTGTGCCCATATCACATTTACTCTGCTGTATAAAATCCTGCACCTCTATGCAACAGCACAACCATGACTAAAAGGAGAGAGAACTCGAGATTATCCTTTGTACAGTATGACAGTATAATAAAACCAATTAAATGTATTGATTCACATTTGATAACATGTTTTTTTCTACTTAAGTTTTTTGCATTTACCTGTAAAGCACTTTAAATAACCTTCTATGAACAATAAGATGCTATTAGGGATGCACGATATATCTGCGACCACATTGGTATCCGTCAATATTAGAGCTTTTCTGATATATTGGTATTGGCCCAATGAACAAATTTAGCCAATATGAAAAACCAATGATTGTCTAACATTAGCGCCTTCGTCTCTACATTTGATATTGCTGCTATTTCACAGATATTTTTACATTTGTGATCCTGGACTTCCCTGCCGTCACCCTAAGTCAGCTGGAATAGGCTCCAGCCCCCCACAACCCTTGTGAGGATTAAGCGGTGTATAGAAAATGGATGGATGGAATGGTTCTGGACTTCAACATTAAATATGTTAAAGTATGTTTAAATATGTTTTACTTTTGTTAGGTAATAATAAAAATCAGACTATGTGGTCTAAATTGGTATGGGCTTCTTTTGAATAGTTTTCATGTTCTCACAGTTCTTACTCATTTTTTGGTTTGAACAACAATTGGATATTGATATTGTAATATCGGTTATCGGTAATATCAGAAATCTTGATATCAGTATCTGCCAGAAATTTTAATATAGTGTATCACTAGATGCTATAAGTAAATTTGCTTGCTTGCTCACTTGCTTGAATGAATTATAAAAATAATAGTTCTTTGATTATTTATGTGACTCTACATCCTATAGATATTTTACTGCTTACATTTTTCATTTGTTTCCATACAAATTGAAGATCTAATGAGTCTTTTTGTTTTTACAGTTTCTGGCTCTGAAAAATAATGCTATTTTGGTGCTTCTTCTTCTTTTTTTTTTTTTTTTAAAGACAGGGTTGTGAGGTTCAGAGGTTAAGTCCTGAATGTTATTGCGAGGTGGGGCTTCTGTATAGATCAGACTAGTTTTCCATCCTGCAGATGCTCGATTGGACGCCAATTCAACACTGTGAACTCTCTGTCAAACTTCTCAAACTATTCCTGAACAATTTTTGCAGTGTAGCAGTGGGTGCTGTAGTCTGCTGAAAGTACTACTGTCGTGAAAGGCTGTACCTACTCAGCAACAGTGTTTAGTTCGGTGCTTCGTGTCACTGTAACATCCTCATGAAGGCAGGACCTGAGGTTGTCCAGCAGAACATTGCCCAGAGCATTACGCAGCCTTCACCAGTTTGCCTTCTTCCCATGTAGCATCCTGCTGCCATCCGTTCCCCTAGTAAATGATGTTCACACAGCTGTTCACCAAATGATACAGCAGAAAACATGATTCATGAGACCAGGCCACCTTCTTCTACTGCTCCATGGTCCGGCTCTCACACTTACATATCTGCAGTGACAAGGCTCCATACACGGCAAGATTTGTCGCACTGTGTGGTCTCACAGCTTTTTGTCATAGCAGCATTACGGTTTTCAGTATGTTGTGCTGTTTTGCTCTCTTCCAACAGATCAAGTTTGAAAACTGACTGCTGTGACTTGCTGCTTAAAATATTCCAACCTTTGACAGGTGCCCTGGTAATGAAATAATCAGACCTCTTTACTTCACTTCACCCATTATGTCTGTGGGTTTCATTTGTGGCTGACTGGTTTGCTGCTCATTAGTTTTCTGCTGATTGACTGATAACATCAACATTATGCCATTAATATGTTTAGAGACAAAGGTAGAACTTATTAGTTTAGTAATAAGTGAAGTGTAATGAAATGTGTGCACTTCCATTGATGATTTCCATCGTTTCCAAACAGCCGTTTATGTCTGATTCCAATGTTTAAAATACTAATCTGTTACGCTATTGACTGATGTCATCCTCCTTGAAGAGCAGATTCACACACAGATGTGAAGGCCTCCTTTAAATCTATAATATTCCCCGTCGTTGGTGGATGCTAACAGTAGCTTTATTGTAAGAACTGCAATGAAAACACAACAACATGTATGTAGTAGGTTGTCATTTTTATGTGTCTGCCCTGCAAGATATTTGCAGTGAATGCTAGCAGAAGTTAGCAGTGACACAGCATCTCTGTGAACAGACTGCAGTCTGCAGTGATGGAACATTTTCTCCCCAGTTAAGGGCAAAACAAGGTCTTCAAAGTATTTTTTCTTTTTTTTTTTTTTGTGAAAGAGGAGATTTCAGCGCAGTGGTATGAATTTGAAAAATTTGAAAGGTTTAATTTTCTTGCTCTCGCTGACGGAATCCACAAGTGGATAAGATGAGAGAGGAGCGTGCAATGGTTTCTGTCCTGCCGGATGAGATCTGACACAAGTTCTCTCTGAAGTTTGACTCACTGCAGCTCAGTAGGATCTGATAGAACTCACTGTGTGTGTGTGTGTGTGTGTGTGTGTGTGTGTGTGTGAGACAGAGTTGAGTCCGGGTGTGTGAGATGCTTATCAGTTCATTACTGAGTCATTTCTATCGATGCATTATCCTCCAGCTACTTTTAATGTGAAGTGCTTATGTTGATGTTGCTTTTACTTTCACTAGATATAACTCCATCAACTATAATACTTTATGATGATGATAATTCTTGATGATGTGGTATATAATTGATTACACATCAGTTCAAATGTGTCACCAGCCAACCATGCATTTACACACATTAATAAGTCATTATTGTATCATTCAAACCTTCCCAACTGAGGTACTGAAACATATTCCATCTTAATGTATTTACTTTCATATTATTTTGATATCAATGGTTACAGTCACCTCTCAAAGTATTCAGACCTCTTCATCTTTGTACACCTTATTGGCTTTTAGATTAAATTTATTTATTTTTCTAATTTATTTAAATCAACAACTGAACTTTTTAATTTACGTAAGTATCCAGAGCCTTAAGTCAATACTTTCAGTACTAGAAGCAATTACATCTTCAAGTCTTCTCAGTTTCTACAAGCTTTGCACACATGGATTTTGGCAGTTTATACAATTCTTCTGGCAGATCCTCTCAAGCTGTGTCAGACTGGATAGCAAGTGTCTCTTCGGGTTTCTCCACAGACGTTCTGGGGAGATCTGAGGGGGAGTCTCAGCTTCCATGACAGTCTAAGACTTGTTCTGAAGCCACTCCAGTATTGTCTTGGCTGTATATTAGTCTAGTCATGCTGTAAGGTAATCCATTGTCCCAGTCTCAGGTCTCTGCACTCTGGAATAGGTTCTTCAAGGACCTCTGTCTATTTGGCTGCAGCCATTTTTCCATTAGTTCTGACCAGCCCCCAGACCAGCATATGGTGTTCATTTGGTAATACCATATCTATTCAATAAGCTGCGTACAATACAACAACCAAAATCCAAAGATTGAATTTAAGTTTTTATCTGAAGCTGCATATAAAATCTGTTTATATAAATAAAAAAAAGACAACTTTGCTTTGTTTGAGGAAATGGCAAAACATACAGCACTAACTGTTGAAAAAAATCCTTATCATACTGTAAAAATTGGTAAACTGCCTGAAAATTAATACTTCACGCTGCCTGCTTTTGGTGTACAGCAGTGACTATGAAATGCTATTAGGGTGTGCTGGGTGAGTAATACTGTCATGAGAAAAAGCATGTAGTGTTGTCAATCACAGGTCATTTTGATTATGATTTTTTTCTGCTCATACAACTTCCCTGCAGCCCAAATAGAGTATAAAAATGGGGCAGAAAGTGGGAGGAAGGCATGATGCTGCAGCAACATCTGGTAAAAGGTTACCTCAAGTTCACAAAAGGCAGAATGAGAACGATTACTTGCACGATAACTTGCATGCTAAATATTCCTCAGGATGGTCCGAGGCAGCCCAGACAGGTTTGCTCATCATCATTTATGTCTGTCCTTCACTGTTTCATGTTGTTGTCCTCAAGCAATCTTTTTCTTCCCTCCTGGCAGGAATTCGATCCTGGGACGTCGACCTCAAGTGCTGTGACCTTGATCAACAGCTGCAGCTTTTTATAACTCGTCACTCTGCCCATTTCTCCTCCGAGGTCAGAGGTCAGTGTACACTCTTTGAGCCAGAGGACCAGTGATGACAGGACAGAAATCAGTTAGGCTTCCTTATTCAGAAAAAAAAACCAAAAACAAACATTCAATACACTGTAGAGGCCTTGTGAAACAAAGCAACCACCAAGATGCAGCCAAAAAGCCAAATTCTCCAGACTGTAACCACTGCATTCACCATGAATTTGATGTAAATGTACTTATCATCTCAAATGAAAAGTAGAAGCTTCGACCCATTCGTGTTCTGCTCCCCTAACTCAAATGTTGTAGATGTTCTAAAGTCTGATCAACTGAAGATTCTGGTGGCTGGATTGCAAAAGTTTTAGTGTCTGACAAAACTGAACTTCCTTCAAGAAAGATCCTTTTTGTCCCTTAGTTCTTTGGTACAAATGACTTCAAAGTAGCTGAGAGAGTGTGCAGTTTTTGGACGTTACATACCATGATTCCTGGATTTTGAATTTGTCCAAGAGTTAATTGCTACATTTCAGAGCTGCCAATGTGCCATCAAGCCCTAAGAAAATCTTTTTTTTATCCAGAGGTAATGTTAGTTATACTGATATTGCAATGTGACATCAAGTGACAAGTGAATTTACAGTGTAAAGATCTGAGTTTCTACACTTATTTGTGTATCTTCCGTTAAATGAACATTGAATGCACTTTCCAGGCCAACATATTCACCTACGTAATTAATGCTCACTACACCTACTCAACAGAAAATCTGTCAGACTAATAGAACTAACCAATAGATATTGTCTCTGTATCTCTAAAATGTAGTAATTTATAAAACTTTTTCAGTTTCAGCCAGTCAGATTTATCTATAAAGCTATCTGGTTTATTGTTGACCTTTAAAATTACAATAAATGACTTAAGCATGGATTTAAAAAAATCAACAAACTTCTTTGCCTTCTATAAAAATACTATGTCAACCCATTTTTAGTTTAGATGATTCAGTAATTGATTTAGTGGACATTTAATCCACCTGCATTGCATCAAAGCTCAGCTGCGTGTATAATTACCATGGTGACTGTTCAGGGAACTGTGGAACTGCTTGCAGTGTTAAGCCTGTCTCTCTCTCTCTCTCTCTCTCTCTCTCTCTCTCTCTCTCTCTCTCTCTCTGT